TAGCGAGCTAACAATTCAGTCTAGCATCAACTTTGTAAATATGAACACTGGACACTTACCCTATAAAAGTTGGACTCACAGAGGAATAGCCTGCTCTTGATAGTCTACAAAACCTGTTCAATGCAGAGTTGACTAAATTGTCAGTCGGTAAAAATCTATTCAAATAGCATCGACACATAGAAAAGGAGTGGCTAATGTGAACAAATAGACCACCAAGATAGGCTATGCTGGCTAGGTTTAGGCTGAATACATTAAAAGTTGGGCTATTCAAGTCCCTGTCGCTTGCTCGGGAGCTCTCTGATTGTTCCACGGGTTGAAAGGGTGACGTCATTCTTCCCTCGTGACCAAACTCTTCTGCATATTCCCATTCATGAATAAACATTTTATACAATAAATGTGCAATTTAATTATAGTCTTGCGTTTATTGCAACCTTTGACAGCAATTACAGAAGTAAAAACTGTTTACAACACCGACATCGGCGATCAGCACTGTAGACAGCAAAAGCATCTACACAAAATCACACTACATTTCTGCGGATTCAATTTCTGCACTCTTTGAAGGCTGCGCCCCGCGGTGGAGCGCAAAAAATAGCACCACTCCTGTCTGTATAAACTACAAATAGACTTGTATAGTTGGGCGGGCAGTCAGTGTTGTGCAGTTCTGTATATTTTTCTGATTTCGCCACCAATGCAAATCTTTTGTTTATTTTTTAAAACTTCTATCTGTCTGCTTTGATGCTCTGTCTATCCCATGTGAACAACTGTGATATGACAAGGCTCTTGTCCTCAGCAGCATGGTTTACTACAATCGCAAACATTTAGAAACCATACTTCAATGCAATTTAGCCTCACCAGATATGTTGGCTATTTTATGGTAGACATGAATCATCCATTAATCCATGTTACAAAGACATTTGGCTGGATTAATGAAACAACAAAAGCTGCCTCAAGCAGTGGTAGCCTACATCTGTCCAAATACTAATCCATGTTGCCATAGGCTTTCACCAGCCTGGTTATGTTGTAGATTTACAGTAGGCCTATGTCAACAGGAAGGTTAATACTGTATTGGAACAAAATCTTGCACTTCCTATGGGTCCCCACGACCAGGACTGAAGAACAACCTATCCCAGTCCCTACCTAACCCCAATTTTGCTTCATCATGTGAGAAATTGAGCCAACTCTACCCTGGAGATTACCGTAGGAGTATCACTGCATGAGTCTCAATCATGATGTAACAGCAGTGAAATATCCTCCACTGAGGGTTTTGTGGCGAGACTGTAGGGATTCATGAGGGGCATGAGCAAAAAAGGGATTGATGTGTGTAGATCTACTCCTTTTTTCCTATTTCTTTAACTAAAACTGTTAACAGAGATGAGCAATTACCGCACCAAAACCTTCCTTCTATGCACCTTTTTCTTGTCAGGTCTGGCATTCCTCACTTAAAATCATCCATAAAAATCACTCATTAATTTCAACTAATACTCAGTCTGAGATTGCATCAATGTTGCGCTCTACAGGCGCTACAGTTGTGTGATGTTACACTTTGTGAGGCACTTTCTTAAATACATTTGTCCAGTAGATGGTAGTAATGCTCTGTAATTTCCTCTCTACTCTCGTTCATCCTCACTATAGTGCTGAGGTGAGGTCCTGTAGGGGCCTGTGAGTTGTAAAGTGCAAGATGCTCTGCTCTGGAGATATATAACCATTGTGACCATAGGAGGAGGATCTGGCTATTAGATGGCCACTCTCTGGCCTCACTTGGCTCAGAGATGAGATTGCTTGGCTCAGTCGTAGTGGGCTGAAGTTGAACCCACCATTAGGCTTCTACTCTCTGATTGAATCAACTGTCAGATATTTTATGTGTTTCTTGCACTTACATTGATTGAAGCGTTTTTCCAGAACCCTTTTCAGCGAGCATAACTTTGACACATGACACATCCACAGAAAACGATCTCCTGACAGCACAGCAGTGAGCTCTAAAAAGGGTATTGACAGATATTGAATTTCCTATATTTTTATCTTGATATTTTTCCCAATTTCCCCAAATCTTTTGGGCATAAGATTGGTACTGAAAGTCCTGCTGCAATCCTCCAGCAAAGATACTTCTGTGCCCATGAGTCTCTCCTCTCATTAATATTGTAGTCCTCTTTGTCCATCCTTAGTCTGATGTCGGTGTTATAGTATCTGAAAATCAAGAACGTCTCTATATTAGTTTTATAAATAATGGTAGCCAATGAGAAGTGTTATTGTTGAAAAAAAGTTGTCCCTCAAGCTATCCGCTTGAACTCAATAGGGTGGCTTTGCTTGTATTTTAGATTTTATAAAGTGACATTACTGCATTTACATTTTAGTCATTTAGCAGACGCTCTTATCCAGAGCGATTTACAGTTAGTGAGTGCATACATTTTTTTCTTCTCATACTGGCCCCCCGTGAGAATCGAACCCACAACCCTGGCGTTGCAAGCGCCATGCTCTACCAACTGAGCTACACGGGGCCCAAATGAAAGAGATTTAGCAGACAACACAAAAGTGAATAGTTGTTATTGTGCTTGTCTTTGTTGTGGTCTATGCTGTGCTGTCTTCTTTGCAGTTCACTCTTGCCCTGTGACTCTTTACATATTTGCATAATGTCAATGTGTGCTGTGCTGAGCTTACCAAAGCATTTACATGGTTTCAACAGAGGGCATCCAAAGCTTAATGTTTAGCTCAGCTTGAGAATGCATTGAAAAGCCCCACACAATTTTTCATTGAAACATGCATCCTCTAGAACAGTGGCAATTTTAGCATGTAAATCCTGGTGGGGCAAACGAAACAAACATTTTGGGGATGCATGCCAGCAAAGCCACTACACAACACAACACAACGCTAAACAATACATGAATTGCACTGTAACAGTGACAAACTGCGCCCGCAAACTGTTAGGGCCTACATAAAGCTGTCCCAACAGCAGTCCCAACAGCAGTCCCAACACCTTACCACTGCTACACCTGGCTATCAGCGGTGCCTTGTCTGGCAGCGAAACAGTTCATTCAGCCTCATTTACTGCCTTTAAAAAAACCATAGCTGATATGGCTGACTTGCTTAAACAAATGTGGCTTCTACTGACAATTGAGATGTACAAACTATGGCATAATGGGACGACAAGCGGAAAAGAGGCAATCCGTAATTTCGATTAAGACATTAATAAGCGAGCTAGGACGGACATAGTCAATATAACTATTTGTTCAGCACTTTTGAAATGTACAGCGACAGAATTCAGAACATGGGCCGTTCTTACAGTGTTCTCCCTGTACACCAAGTCAGAACCGTAGGATAAATAAAGGGGGCATATAAGTAGACAATAAAAACTCTTACAATATTCGATGATTACATTTCTTTAAAACAGGTTATAGGATACATGTGCACCACCAAGTCAAAACAGTAGGCGAAATTAAGAGGGGAAAATAGACCAAATTATTAGGATGAGGCACATGGGCTACTAAAAGCTTACTACACAACATACACTTAGTATTGCTTTCTTAGCTACAGTATACATATCTCCCTGGCATATTACATAATGTATGCAGCAGCATACAAGACATTTTTGGACTCACCTTGTTGTGCTGTGCTCACTTGAACAGGAAGGTGGCGCGGCAGTCCTTCGTGGGCAAATTCTGTCATCGAACTTTGTCATCAAAGTCTGGCATTCTCTGGATTTACGGTGCTTTTGAGACAACTGAGAACTAGGAAAAAAACAAGGTCGATCATGATGACGTCATTGATCTTCTAGAAAGAGGCCTGAGACCCTGACTTACAATTCCGAGTTGGATGACCGTTCAAAGCATATTTTCCCAGTCGGAGCTCATTTTCTTCCCAGAGTCCCAAGTTATCTTGAACTCACTAAAATCAGATTTCCCAGTTCCGAGTTAACAGTTGTTTTGAGCGCGGCAGAAATCATGCTGGGTTGACATCATGGCCAATGTTGAATGTTTACCATTTTAAGCTTGGAAAAGAGACCCTTAAACCCAGAATTGGGACCACACATCCACTCCACTGAATAGCAGGCTATTGATTGCTTTGCAATGCTTGCAGTTAGCCACTGATTCCTTCCAAACCACTCATTGTTGATTTTGCCATTTCCAACTTGTTGTGTAATGTTTATGTCCAATGGCCGATGAGCACCGATACATTTTATCTATAATTTCTCTTCATTATTTCTCTTCATATGACAAGGATTAAAAAGGATTTACCAGTAGATTGTTGACTTGATTCATGATGATGACTGCTAGCTAAGATTTTTAAAGTATGATGTTGACATGATCAGTCCAATCAAAGCTACTGTAGATATAACGTGATTTGACGTCATTTTATATGTGGCCAATGACCTTAAGCCTTCTTGGATGGGCACTTTAAATATAACTCTATGACAGCACCCAAGGGGCTTGAATTTTCAAGCTCTACCCTTAGATTTGGCAGTGACATAGTGTCCCCATGAGTGACAGAACACTGAGCTGATCACGGCGCAACTAGAGAACATTACCAACCCCTATGCTTCGTATTTTCCACTGGCTGCCCCACCACCACAGAAAGCACTGAGCTAGGCTGAAACACCTGCATTTTGGAGCTGCCTTATTCAAGAAAGCAAAAAAGAGACCATGTTCATATGTAGCATTATTAACTCAATTATTATTTTTATTTGTTTACATTGTTTGCAAACTGATATGTGACACGTTTAAATGCCAAAATAACATTCAAAACAGGCAACCCCCCTTTCTTGAGTAAGGCAGTGAGCCCCACATTTCAAAACCTGCCCTGAATGGCGGGTCGCCACTACTCTAGAAAGAAAAAGAAAACAGTCAGGAAAAAGTTAACACCACTATAGTTGCAGTTACTCTTTATTTTAAACAGAAAGGCAAACGGGTGATGACATAAATGCATGTATTGTATGAGCCTTAGGGACCTAGGAGCTGGACTGGATTTTATTCTAGTTCAAACAATCTATGGTCTGACCCATTCCATCCTTACAGGATGCCAACATTGGCGGGGTTTGATTGATGTTTGATGATCTTGTTGATCCAATCCAGGTGTCTTTTGGAGAACCGGGTGTACACTCCAGGCTTCTTGGGGTTGCCACAGCCCATTCCTCCAGACACCAAGCCTACAAAGGCTTTGTTACACTCCAACGGACCACCAGAATCCCCCTGGAAAAGGTCAACAAACATTTGACCTTTCATGCACTGATAAGCTAATACGTGTCTAGGTTAACATGGATGTTAGTTGGACCAAGTAACTAGAGCTCATGGTATGTGACTGGTTCAAAGGATAATGCAAAAAAATACCATGAAAAAATACCCACACAGTATGTTGCAACAAAATGGTAATCAATGTAGTTAGATCTATCAGTTCCCCCACAAACTGTACCTTGCAAGCATCTGCCTGTCTTTTGTTGTTGCTAGCACAGAGCATGTCCTGGGTGATCACAGGGTTTCTGTTGTAGAAGCAATCACAGAGCTTCCTGTCCAGTATGTCCACCTCTGCCCCCTGCAGTGTGTCTGATGGCATGCTACCTGTAGCACTTACCACCCCCCATCCTGTCACATGGCAATGTGTGCCAGCCTGGAGGTCTTTGCCAGACTTTGAAACCTCTTTCACTTTCACTGTCTTGCTGTTTGTCTTGACTTTCGTCTTCAGCTGTAAGAACAAAAAGCCCCCTACTGTTAAGGATCAGGTAATTAGCTTGTGATGATGACATGCAGACTTGGTGTATCTTGCGCTGCATGATGCAAGCGTCCTCATGGCATCTTCAATAAACAAATACATCTGGGACAACAACCAACTATATCATTATTGATTCCATTTTACCTACTAATGAGGCACAGCGCCCCAGAGTGCATGCTTTTGCTGTGATTAATTCACCTTGATTAACATGATGTCGTCTGCCTTGGTTCTGTCACTGTAGGTGCCAGGCACATAGTACTCCTCAATGGCTACCCGCTGTGTGTTTTTGTTTTTGCTGCTTGTCAGAGAGTGAGCTCCAAGGAGGGCTGTCACGGATTTCTTAGACTCACCAAAGACACTGCAATTCAAGAACACGTTTTTCTTGTTCACATTACATAATTTCCTCTGAACGGCCATTTCCAAATACTTTAACCACATGCAAATTAGGTAAAAGCAAAAAAGCACTTATTTTCAAAGTATGGTGTATGTACATATCTGTATGTCCTTATCTATGGTTTTAAATGTCTGTTTGTACATAATGTTTTCATGTTTATATGTTCACATGCCGGGGACTGCAGATGTAAATTAGCGGTCAGCTAAATCTGCTGCAACGCATTACTTCTCATACTCTGAGACGAGTTTTGTTGTACATTGTCCCTGCCAAATAAACGTTATAAAAATATATATATATATGGTGTCCTTGCCTGAACTCACTAATTGAGATATTAACATGGTGTTAAATCCAAGTAATCAGCCAATTAACCTACCCCTTACAGTGAGCTGCCGTCAGAACCCACTGGTCTCGGATCAGAGTGCCCCCACAGATGTGATTGTTATCAACCTGAAGGGACACCATCCACGGCCTGGAGTGAGGCTTGACCTCATGTCCCCCCACGATTGTAACCTCAGAGCAAGCTGAGAGAAGAAGACATCAACATCACGTGTCACAATAGATACAGCACAGCGCTTTAGAGTAGCACAACGTGACACAGCCAGGCACAGGTTGAAAGATGGACATAGAAGATAATTACCCTTACCTGCTAATTTCCAAACAGAGGCAATCAAGAGGGTGGTTTGCAGCAGTGGTCCCCCAAAATGCATGATTCTGCTGAATCTCTCCATCTCAACTGTGGTCAGGTAGAGCAGCCCACTGAGTCCATGGAAGGCACCTTTTATGAGTGTTCAGTAGGAGGGGTAAGGGGGCTGAGATGAGATATGGCTCTGCTTTTGCTGTGGGGTTTCTCTTGTGGTGTTTACAAACACATCTGCTGTTCACAACACCTGCAGACAATGCCTTGGTTTTGACACCTTTGCTGTTTCCCCTCTCTGACTTTTACACTGCTTGCAAAATGTGTGAACTTGAGCTGGAGAAATGTGTCATGTGTTTTAGCATTATATAATTAAGAACAGAGTAAACATAGTAGTAATAGTGTACAAGATAAGTGGATAAAGGTTTGATTTATGGAGGAACTTCTGAGACAACTTCTGAGATAAGTTCAAGACCTGCTCAAATGAGTGCTACCCCACCGGGCACAGACGTCAGTTCAACGTCTAGTTTTGATTTACATTTGGTTGAGTTATTAACTAACGTGAATTCTACGTGAAATCAACAAAAAATGTCACCCTGTCATTAGATTTAGGTTAGAAGTTGGGTGAAAAAAAGTCAAATTCCTTTACGTCAATTCCTTTTTTCAAATCCAATCAGTTTTCCACGTTGATTGAACATCATCATATTGCATAAGCGCTGCTTAGTCAGTCACTGCAGAGCACGCTTCCTGTCAACACTGTTCACTCACACCTTTTTTTGTCTTCACCCCTTGAGATCACACCCTTGAGATAGATTTTTTCCCATAATGTGACAATGCAGACAGTATGAGTTTGAAGATTTGATTTACTCTCTGAGATGTTTTTCTACATAAATCTCTAATGTGTTGAATGATGTTAAATATATTGTCTTGCTTTATACATTGTCATTCTTGAAATGGCAGCGCTGTGTAAGTTTAAAGTCACAACTGTGCCAACTTTTACACTGGCAAATGAGCCACTTTTAAAAGCTTTTGACACTGACAATCAAACTTTAGACCAATGACTGAGTTATTACCTTTCTATCAGTTCAGAGACAGGGGTCCTCTGATTAATGCAATTTTTGACATGCTGAGGGGGATCTCAAACCACTCAAACTCAGCGGTTGTCTGCTGGGAATTAATGGGTTTTATGCAGAAAATCATGGCAATGTCACAGACTAACCCCAGGCTACAACCCCCAGTTTCCTTTAAAAAGTGTTACCTCTCAAGTCTATTATTGAGAGCTTAAACAAAAAGCTGAGCACCATGTTTTCTCTAGATAGAAAATGTCAGAATCACAGAAGTCAATCCCATTGAACATATAGTTCAGATTCTCTTATTTTTCTCCAAATAGGCACAGACATTCAAATCACACCAAGTTAAAAGTGTTGAAGTGTGTTGAACTGCTGAAAAGTTGCATCAGGAAAAAAAAACTCTGTCACCCACTTGCCCTCTATGACAGAGTTTGGTAGGCTGCTACCTTTACGTACCATGACATGTTGTTTTCTTGCTGTGCAACAGTAGATCACCTTTCATCTTATTTCAGAACGATTTGAAGGAGAGTTTACCTGAGATAAGTGTCTTGCTTAATCTATTATTCATTAGTCTCTGTTTAAGGCCTACCTCATATCTGTAGATTATACACATATTTAATCTTTATACTGTCTGTGGTGAGTTTTTCATCTTCAAGCAATTTTAATGTTGTTTTCCCATTAGTTCCATCAAAGACAAACAAACAGACCAATAACTATCAATAACTTAACTTCATATAACACCATGGCCAGAATGTTCTTTATGCTGTGTCAGAGATGTACAACACACCTCCCAATCCGCTTCCTTGGGCACTCAAAGTTGACATCTACATTGACGGGGACAAGGCAAAGCAACTACAGTTCAGAATGTCTTCGTTCTACTTTAACCACAGATGCTCCAGGTGTATAATCAATGGTTGGTGATGAAACAACACTAGAGGGAGTGTACTGCAGACAACCTTTTGTCACGATACTCTAAAGCAGAACCCAGAAGCAGACCAGGACAAGGTGAGTAGAACGAAGGTGAGTATTTATTTACAGACTCAAATGTGGAAGCAGAATAATCCAGGAGACGGAGCGGCCAGCGGATGTGAGTTGGTGGGAGTGAATAGGCAGATCCAATGGTGTCACAGAAGCCACCGACGACCAGGCAGGCGTGGGGTGAATGTTCCGGGAGAATGACTGTAGACAGAGTAAACAGAGGTGAGTACACGGCAAGCAAAAAGTACAGAACAACAAAACTAACTCTAGTAAACTTGAGGCTGATACACTGACACAACATACTGTTCATGGCTAACGATCCGGCAGGGAATGGATGTCAGGTCAGAGCTTATGAAGTGGAGCGGTGATGATCAGGACCAGGTGTGCAGATAGCTGATGAGATGCAGGTAATCGAGAGATCTCCCGCCTAGCCTCGTCGCCCGGCAACCAGACAGGGTGCGTTCAGGAACCTCAGGAAACAGACTCAGGAAGCGGGATTCATGACAGTACCCCCCCTCCGACGAACGCCACCGGGCGGACTACCCGGAGCGCCAGGATGGAGGCGGTAGAAGTCACGAAGGAGGTCAGCATCAAGGATCTGACGCCGAAGAATCCAACTCCTCTCCTCAGGACCATACCCCTCCCAGCCCACGAGATACTGGAAACCCCGACGTCTGGAATCCATGATGCGGCGCACCGTGTAGACAGGACCACCTCCGATCATCCGAGGAGGAGGAGGCGGAGGGGGCAGCAGAGGACTGAGGAGAACAGGCTTGAGGCAGGAGACATGAAAGGTGGGATGGACTCTGAGCGTTCTAGGCAACTTGAGTCGAACCACAACAGGATTAAATCACTCTCTCCACCACAAATGGACCAATGAACTTCGGTGACAGTTTCTTTGACTCAGTCCGCAGAGGAAGATCCCGTGTAGCCAACCAGACCTTATTACATTTACATTTACGTCATTTAGCAGACGCTCTTATCCAGAGCGACTTACAAATTGGTGCATTCACCCTATAGCCAGTGGGATAACCACTTCACAATTTGTTATTTTTTATTTTATTTTATTTTAAGGGAGGGGGGGGGGGGGGGGGGGGGGGGGGGGGGGGGGGGGGTTAGAAGGATTACTTTATCCTATCCCAGGTATTCCTTAAAGAGGTGGGGTTTCAAATGTCTCCAGAAGGTGGTGAGTGACTCCGCTGTCCTGGCGTCGTGAGGGAGCTTGTTCCACCATTGGGGTGCCAGAGCAGCGAAACAGTTTTGACTGGGCTGAGCGGGAACTATACTTCCACAGAGGAAGGGGAGCCAGCAGGCCAGAGGTGGATAAATGCAATGCCCTCGTTTGGGTGTAGGAACTGATCAGAGCCTGAAGGTACGGAGGTGCCGTTCCCCTCACAGCTCCATAGGCAAGCACCATGGTCTTGTAACAGATGCGAGCTTCAACTGGAAGCCAGTGGAGTGTGCAGAGGAGCGGGGGTGACGTGAGAGAACTTGGGAAGGTTGAACACCAGACGGGCTGCGGCATTCTGGATGAGTTGTAGGGGTTTAATGGCACAGGCAGGGAGCCCAGCCAACAGCGAGTTGCAGTAATCCAGACGGGAGATGACAAGTGCCTGGATTAGGACCTGTGCCGCTTCCTGTGTAAGGCAGGGTCGTACTCTCCGAATGTTGTAGAGCATGAACCTGCAGGATCGGGTCACCGCCTTGATGTTAGCGGAGAACGACAGGGTGTTGTCCAGGGTCACGCCAAGGCTCTTCGCACTCTGGGAGGAGGACACAACGGAGTTGTCAACCGTGATGGCGAGATCATGGAACGGGCAGTCCTTCCCCGGGAGGAAGAGCAGCTCCGTCTTGCCAAGGTTCAGCTTGAGGTGGTGATCCGTCATCCATACTGATATGTCTGCCAGACATGCAGAGATGCGATTCGCCACCTGGTTATCAGAAGGGGGAAAGGAGAAGATTAGTTGTGTATCGTCAGCGTAGCAATGATAGGAGAGGCCATGTGAGGATATGACAGAGCCAAGTGACTTGGTGTATAGGGAGAATAGGAGAGGGCCTAGAACTGAGCCCTGGGGGACACCAGTGGTGAGAGCACGTGGTGCGGAGACAGCTTCTCGCCACGCCACTTGGTAGGAGCGACCGGTCAGGTAGGAAACAATCCAGGAGTGAGCCGCGCCGGAGATGCCCAGCTCGGAGAGGGTGGAGAGGAGGATCTGATGGTTCACAGTATCAAAGGCAGCAGACAGGTCTAGAAGGACAAGAGCAGAGGAGAGAGAGTTAGCTTTAGCAGTGCGGAGAGCCTCCGTGACACAGAGAAGAGCAGTCTCAGTTGAATGACCAGTCCTGAAACCTGACTGGTTTGGATCAAGAAGGTCATTCTGAGAGAGATAGCAAGAGAGTTGGCTAAAGACGGCACGCTCAATAGTTTTGGAAAGAAAAGAAAGAAGGGATACTGGTCTGTAGTTGTTGACATCAGTGGGATCGAGTGTTGGTTTTTTGAGAAGGGGTGCAACTCTCGCTCTCTTGAAGACGGAAGGGACATGGCCAGCGGTCAAGGATGAGTTGATCAGCGAGGTGAGGTAGGGGAGAAGGTCACCGGAGATGGTCTGGAGAAGAGAGGAGGGGATGGGGTCAAGCGGGCAGGTTGTTGGGCGGCCTGCAGTCACAAGTCGCAAGATTTTATCTGGAGAGAGAGGGGAGAAAGAAGTCAAAGCATAGGGTAGGGCAGTGTGAGCAGGACCAGCAGTGTCATTAGACTTAACTAACGAGGATCGGATGTCGTCAACCTTCTTTTCAAAGTGGTTGACGAAGTCATCCACAGAGAGGGAGGAGGGGGGGGGGGGGGGAGGAGGATTCAGCAGGGAGGAGAATGTGGCAAAGAGCTTCCTAGGGTTAGAGGCAGATGCTTGGAATTTAGAGTGGTAGAAAGTGGCCTTAGCAGCAGAAACAGATGAAGAAAATGTAGAGAGGAGGGAGTGAAAAGATGCCAGGTCGGCAGGGAGTTTAGTTTTCCTCCATTTCCGCTCCGCTGCCCGGAGCTCTGTTC